TAAACGTGTTTGTCAAGGCGAAGCGAGAGAACTGTTCAGGGACGACACATGTGAGAAAAAAAAAGGAAAGAGGGGTTTGGTGCATGCGTGGATAAGGGAGGGTGCGAGAGGGAGAAAGAAAAAAAGAGGGTTAAAGTGTGGGAGCACATACATGCGTCAGGGCCACGCGTGCAGCAAGAGATCGCAAAACTCTCGGAAGTGCGTAAACGTACACGCACACGTACACGACGAACATGCACGCGCACACGCACATGCACGCGCACGCGTGTTATGCTTCGTTGCGTGCGACCAAACCAGGAAGCTCCACTCTCTGCGTCATTAGTAATATAAATAGGTTAAAGTAGAATTTTCTCTACGTTAATCCTTTGAAAGAGAAGAATCTTTCTATTTTATTATTATTATTTTTTTTTTGTATATATAATAAACGTAATATTGAAATGATAATAATATGGGATATGTACACGTATGCATGTATGTACATATACATGTATATACTTTAAAGATAACAACAGTAACAACGAAATAGGGTGTTGAACGAAAAAAGTCTTAAACGAGTGCCGAGAAAAATTCTTGAACAGTAACAACGGAATGGTCGAACGAGAGAAAGAGAGAGAGAGAGAGATTCTAACTTTTGCAATTGCTTAATCATAGAATTTCATCTGGTCGTAGACTGTCTCTTGGGTGAAACGTCGCACGTTAGAGGAGCAACGAGAAGAACGAGGAATAGTAAAAAGAGAGGGATAGAAGATGAGAAAAGAAATAGAGAAGGAAGATGAAAGGGTGTGGGGGAGGAGGCGAAAAAGGAAAATTGAAAAGGGAGAAAACGACTAGGAGAAGTAGGGTCGAAGAAAGCTGCTTGCTTGCTTGCTTGCGAGCTTACTTGCTTGCTTGCTGCTGCTGCTGCTAATGCTGCATCAAGAGAGAAAAAGAGATAGAAAAAGAGAGAGAGAGAGAGAGAGAGAGAGAAAGATAGAGGCCGAATAGACCGAAAGCCCCGGCTGGTAGCTTCAAACGAAAACTCTGGCGCGTCCAACGAGTTTGTATCGAGCGTAGGAGGTAAAAGCAAGCGCGATGCTGCGGAAGGTTGAAAAGAGAAAAACAGAGAGAGAAAGAGAGAGAGAGAGAAGGGAGAGAGAACGAGAGAGAACGAGAGAGAAAGAGAGAGAAGGCGTTCCTCTCTCGCGTAGCACCACGATGCCGCGTTCTGCAGAAACGAAGAACTGGAATAGAAGAGGATGAGGTGGAAGAGGAGGGAGAGGGAGGGGGAGGGAAACAGGGAGAGTGAGCACAAGCTACGAGGATGAGGCAGAGTACCGGAGGAAGAGAAGGATGAGAAGGAGGGTTGAGAGAGAGAGAGAGAGAGAGAGAGAGAGAGAGAGAGAGAGAAGGGGAGAGGGTATACAGAGGTGAAAGAGGGGCAGAGGGGGAGAGGAAACTGCCGCAGACCGAGGCCATGGTAGGCGAGGTGAGGTGGCAATCAATAAATATACAGAACCGGCGGAGAGCTTGGTAGGTAGAGAGAGAAAGAGAAAGCGAGCGACTGAGCGACTGTGCGAGTGAGTGAGTGAGTGAGTGTGCAACAGAGAAAGAGAGAGAGAGAGAGAATCCGTCCGACAACCACCGGTCCGTCCGTTCCGTTCGTTCTTGCGTCCCCAAAGCTTCTCTTTCTCTCGTACAAACCTGACCCAAGTGTGCGAGAGAAGGAGAGAGAGAAAGAACGATAACGCCCTATAGAGAGAAGGATAGAAATGGACGATGAGAGGTAGAGGAGGGGGAGGGTGGAAGGATCAGAAAAGGCTCTGCTCCGCTTTGCTCTGCTCTTTCTGCTATGTCAAAGAGAGAGAAAGAGAGTATAGGGTGGTGGTGGTGGTGGTGGTAGTAGTAGTAGTAATAGTAGTAGTAGTAGTAGTGTAGTAATAGTGTAGCGGTGGTGGTAGTGGTGGTGGTAGAGGAAGAAGGTTGACGAGAAGAGGGAGGGGAAGTGAAAAAGGGAGGGTAGGTCGGAGGTGAAGCAACGAAATAAACGAAATCCCATCGCGCACGATGGAACAGCATTCGAGAGACCTGTGCCAACGGGGACGCGAGGGAAAGAGAGAAAATGCAAGAAAGAGAAAGAGAAAAAGAGAGAGAAAGAGAGAGGGAGAGGGAGGGAAGGAGAAAGACTGGCCCGATGCCGGCTCGGGTAGTAGCGTTGGGAATCAATCGTTCTCGAAACGTTCTCTCGAATGAGATAGGAAGGGATGATGATTGTTGGAGGAGGGAGGAGGGAGGAGGTGGAAGGGTGGAGTGCATAGGAGAAGTTCACGGAACAGTCAAGTCCGCAGAAATGTCTTTAGGAATAATCTGGTAGGATCGCCAAGACTTTTGGAACGAGTCCTTTCCTAAAACGTTCGTGGATTTCTCCAATTGCGTTCCGTTTCTAAAGGGTAACATTTTGGGTGACTTAGGGTGTTTCCGCCTATTCTATATTGTCCGCATTGCATACGACATCGCGCAGGACGTTTTGGTGGTTATCGTTATATCGTTATCGCATTGATGTTTCTCGCATTTAGATGAATGAAATACCAAAAGCTACTACATAAGTGTTTTGCCTATTTCGCAATATAGAATGCATGGATGGATGGATGGATGGATGGATGGATTATTATTATTATTGTAGATTTGATATTATTCGTTGAGATTAGATTACAAAGGAAGTAGGAGTTACGTGATAGTATTATGAATAGTATTCGAATAGTATAGATATCCAATCAATAGATATAAATATACTTATGAGATGAGTTTATATTCATGGTGTTATTATAATCTCTGTTTTATATTTTTTATAGTATATGTATATATTGAGTTACGGAATATGTCGATATGTCATCTAGACGATAGAATATTTTTTAATTGATGAGAATAGTGGGGAAGAGGAAAAGGAGCATTCGAAGAAAAATTCTTAAATTCGCGTGGATAATAAAAGAATTGATATGTAGGAGGTAAGTGTATATATATATATATATATATATATATGCGTGTACTTAAATACTTACTTAGCGATGAGAAAGTGATAAATCGAAGTGGAGAATTAGAGAAAAAAGCGTAAAATGCGTTGGTGTGTTTCGAGTGTTAGAGATAGTGAAAGAGTAAGTAAGTAAGTGAATGACTGAGTGACTGAGTGAGTGTGTGTGAGAGAGAGAGAGAGAGAGAGAGAGAGAGAATGAGATAGATAGAAAGATAGATAGAAGCAACTCGTACAGCCGTACGAGAGTCGAGATATTAGACAAAAAGAAAGAAAGAAAGAAAGAAAGAGAGAGAGAGAGGATAAAGAAGAGAATGATTAATGAAGCATGCGACTTTATCGGCGACTAAAACAGATCGTAAAGACGATAATGCTTGACCCATACTTCAGCAACCTAGGCTTATACATATCTACGCGAAATTATTAATTATTATTCGCAACAACCCCTTCTCTCTCTTCTCGCTGATGATCATCAATTTGTCACATTTGTCTTGTTCAAACTTGCTCAAACAACGTGAAGAAAAATTATCTTATTCTACGTGTACGCGCATATATAAATATATAATAGAAAAAAAAGAAAAATTAAATAATTCGATCGTAAAAATAATATTGAACGAATTTCATATACATTTTCGTTGTTATTGTTGTTGTTGTTGTTGTTGCTTTTCTCTTTTGTTTTAATAAAAAATAAAAAAATAAAAATAAATAACTCTGTGTAAAGAGTAATACTTTGCAACGATTAATTTATTTTAAAACAATTTCGCATGCTCTTTTCCATCCTTGGGAGAGAGGGGGAGGGGCCGGATTTTCAAGGAAAGAGGAGAAAAAATAATTCGACGAGTTTAATTTTTTTCAATGATATAAAAAAGAAAAATAGCAAAAAGAGAGACAGAGAGAGAGAGAGAGAGAGAGAGATAAAAGAAAAAAAGAAACAGGATGTGGGGGGGGGGGGCATATATAGAAAAGTCGAGTATCGTCGAGCGTACAATTTAAATATTGCAAGTACGGGTCTCAATGGAATTTGCATTGATTTGCGAGAGGACACACACGAGAAGGTTTTCCAATTTTATCGGATCGATTAATTAAGCGTCGCATTCGAGGTAAACGAGAGAGATAGCAAGAGAAAGAGATAGGGTGAAAGGGGGAGGGGGAGGAAAAGAGAGAGAGAGAGAGTAATATAGTATGAGAATCCCCACCCAAGCCTCGATTTCGACGATCTCTTTCGACGAGACGAGTCGAAGGATATCGATCTTGCAATTCATCGACAAATCTATCTATCTATCCATCTATCTATCTATCTGTCCTATGTGTATGTACATATGTAGTGTATCCTTTGTATATATGTATATATGTAGTATGTAAATACATATTTTGTGAAAGGAGACGCGATGATGGCCGTCGTTGGTCAATCCTGCGGCAGAACGCTGCTATGCACCTAGGTTCGATAGTCGAACGTTCTAGTTTCGATCAAAACCTTCATTATGCGAACGTTTATTAAACCGCTAATTACAGATATACCGATCAAGTAACCGATGATAGTTGTCAAATACACGAACAATTCATTTACGTTTTATATACTTATGTATATAAGTATACATGTTAAATATATATACTCTAATATCAATAGGGTTGCAAGATATATATATATATATAAGATATATATATATAATAAGGATTACAAGATATATATGTATATAATGATGATTTGGTTACTTCCGTTATTATATAATTATACGTTAACTAATCTAATTTATTCATATTTATTCGTTATTTTTAAAGAGATTGTTCATTAATATTTTTTATTCGAAATATAACGAAATGGTAAGAGAAGAAAATTCGTTGTAAAATATTATTTGATTATATTCAATATGTCATTAACGTTTTATGTAAATTATACTTATTCTTATTATTATTATTATTATTGGTATTACCGTAAGTTATATTATTAAATGATAAATCGTGTTATATGGTCGAAGGGAAGATAAAATGTACTTACCACCAAAAAGTGCAGTGGGATCGAGCAGCGGATTGGCCTGGTCCGCCTGGAGCTTCTCGGAGGTGGAGGTGGAGCCCGACGTTGCCGTTGCCGCCGCTTCACCTCCGCCACCTCCGCCTGATGCGGAGTTCTCCTTCTCCATGCCAGTCCCCTGAACAAAATAAAATCAAAGTTTCTAAAATCTTCTTTATTATTCCTTCGCCCCCCTCCCTTTTTAAATCTACACGTTTGCGTAAACTTTACATATTCTTTCGTTTTTTTCTGCCAATAGTAATTCTCACCCCTGAGGATACATATTCGTAGATTTTACAAATTAAATATTAAAAAAAAAAAAAAAGAAAACAGAAATGATATATAAATAAAATAAGTAAGAGTAAATAAATTATTATGGATCGATTAAACAAATATCGTATCGATTAAATTTCATTTCATCTATTTTTGTAATCAATTGTTTTCATACTAAACAAATCTCATTTATTTCTATTTTTATCTATTAGGTTAACACATTTATATTTAATAAAATAATAATGATAATATTAATAAAATACAATTATCGGATCATATAAATGAGAAAATAATGTTACAATTAATTAGCATAATTATTATCGACTTTTCTTTCTTTCTTTCTTTCTTTCTATGAATCATCGATATTAAAAGTGAACTTGTTAAACTAGTTCAAAAACGAGATGTTAATGAATGTTGTATATGTTTTGAATGACTATATTATATTTATTATATATATACATATTCAAAGTCAAGGCGATCAACTAACATTCACGAGATAACGTTTCGAGCTTGAACAACAAATCGACTCGATATCTCGTCTCATATTAAATGAATAATTTATCAACGTAACACGCATGGTCAATGTACCCGTTACAAACGAACCGGCATCTATTCTAACTTATACATATTCTTCTTTATATACTCTTACATTTATGCAAATGATTATATCCGTAGAGATAACGGTATTAAATAGCATGAGTGCAAATATTTCCAATCCTACCACCGAATTCGTTTGATTAATAGTTTCCCATTTACGTAAGGGAATGATAAAAACGATTGGGAAGTATTACGAAAGCTCATCTACATACACACATACACATACACACATATATATATATGGGAAATGTAGAAATGCAGATAATAAATTCAGTAGAACACGATTCGATTGATATAATTATTCTAAAGTGAATAATATACATATATATATACATATTCATTATTGTTAATAATAAAACTTAATTATTTTTATTTGAAAATAATGATTATCTTTCAAAATCAAGGCCAATCAATAATATTTCGATCGTATACATTAAATACACATAAAAATATACGTATATATATATATTAATTATTGTTAATAAAAAGCATTAATTATTTCTCTCAATTCCAAGATAATAATTATTTTTCCGCGCAAAAATCAGTTGTAATTTCGATCCAGATATTTCCATATAAAATACACAAACGCATACGTATACGTATTTAATATTTCTCATTATTTAAATTTAAAAATAATTATAATACCTTTTTTTTGAAGTCAAGGTCAATTAATACTTCGACGAGATATTTTCACGCGTGTATATATAACATTAAAGATAATGATACATAATATATCTCTTTTTCTCTTATTCTTTTATAAACTGTCATTTGCATTCGGGGAAGTATTTAGCAGTTAAAGAAAGGTTTCCTCCAGCGCTTTAAATAAAGGTCATTCTCCCCTCCATGTTTTCCCCTCCAGCGTTTCAATCAGCTGACTGGCATACTCCCCTTCTTCCTCGCAACAGTGTCAGCTGTTGTATAAATATACATCGTTACAACGACGTTGAGTCAGGTTGAGCTAGTATTTATGCATATATATGAGTCTGGGAATATGTATATGTTTATGTGTATATGTGTATACTATACTAGGCTAGACACAGCCAGAGCAGTGCACGATACACCGTTATTATCATATACTACTAGATTATAATAGTCGTGAAAGCAAGTCCTATGTATATATGTCTACGTATGTGTATATATATGGATATAGATATATGAATGTGCATAAACTGCAAGTATACGGAAACGTTATTGTCTACTCGTCCGTTCTACGATTATTATTAATCGATGACGCGTCAATTAGTGACGTGTGACCTAAATATTATATTCTATAAATATGATCTATTTTCTATTTGTTTCGTTCGTTAGAAAAATTATCATATTATTATTTCTCCATCGTTTTATTTTTAATTAATATATTTTTTTTTTCTCGTGTATCATATTTTTAAATTTTATAAAATATAATTGATTAAGATTGAACTAGAGTGAACTATTCTACATTTTCTTATTTTTTTCCCAAAATACCAGTATTGTTATTTAAGGATCTATTCCACGAAACTGAACAAAAGTTAATTGACAAGAATTTGTAGAATTTTTTAAAGGATTTTTTTTCAAAATCACAATTGGTAAGGGTTTGTTCACTGTGGTTTATTAATGCTTTGATTATGATCTTGTCAGAATTATTTGTCTTGTTAGTTTAACAATCGTTTATTCGTAATTATTTCTTTTTATTTTAATATTTTGTTTTATTCGATGATAATATAGAATTGTATTTTTGGTTTTCTTTTTTTGCTTCATTTGTATGTTTTGAATGGTCGATAAAATGTATAGCATCCGTCTAAAATAAAATCTAATTGGAATGTTAAGGAAATAACCGATTATTGAAAAACATTATTATTCCTTTCAAAGTAAAGCGATTGAAATTTCCTATTCTCCAAAATGTCTTGCATTTATCCTGTCTCCCAAGAATAAATTAAGCAAATCTCTGAAAATATATCTTCTCGTTACGTTCATCTATTTTTATCTTTTTTCTTTCTTTTCTTTTTTTCGAGATAATAGATTTATTTAATATACGCGTCCTCGTCCATTTTCAATCCAAAATATATTTCGATAGTTTATCCGTCGTTTTAAATTTATTTAAGAAAATTTATTCGCACTTTATTTATGTCCTCTTTCTTTCGTCTAAATAAATTAATTTATATATATTATATATAAGCGTCAAAGTTTTCACTTAATAATTGAATTTTTTTCGGTATATTTTTATGTAGCGAACATTTTCTTTTACAAGTAAAGTATGGGAACAAAAATTGTCGCCGAATGCGAAACCCAATAAATTAATTTATTTCATTTCTGTCTGGTATCTTAAAGAAAACTTCTTCCAAATTATTTCAATCATTCTTATTTTATTTATTTTTCCGTTCGTATATAAATCAAAATACATATTTTTTCTCCAAACTTTCTAAACATTGGTTTCTACTACTTTGCTATCTTATTTGCAATACAATAGTTTTCTTTTTATACAAATATTTAAATATATCAACAATAAGTACGAGTATTCTAAAAATTGAAATATAACAAGTAAATTAAATACCTTTCCAGTTTTTTTTTAAATTATTCATTACGATTTTACTCTATAAATAATTCAACAAGAATCATTCATAAATTCCAATATTAATTCTCAACATTGATCATCGACATTTTTTAATTCGACATAAAGAGAGAGAGAAAAAAAAACTACTCGCGACTTTTATCGCATTAAACGTTTTTTTTTTTCAAAGTTACTCCGTTTCTAACTCTTTAAACGACGAAAACGATGACGAAGACGGAATAAAAGGGGAAAAGAAAGGGAAGAAGAAAAAGAAAAAAGAAAAATAAGAAAAAAGAACGAGTACGTGAACGTTTAAGAAGAAGAAGAAGAAAAAAGAAAAAGAAAATGAAAAAAAAAGGAAAAACTCGAATGGTAGGAAAACTCGCCTAGTTCTTGCTAGGATAGAAAAGAAAAAGAGAAGAAAATGGGAAGGACGAAAACTGTTAAAAAGAAAGAAAACGAGAAGCATTACGCGTCCTCGGCACTTTTCGTCCCTGAATATCCGGGCGAGTTCGCAATGCTACACCCGTTTTCAGGCACCCGAGTAGTACTCGGAGGTGCTCGTAAATTGGCGAGAAACGGGCTGGTGGAGGGTGAGAAAGGTGCTGGATGAACGGGCGGTGGTTCTGGGTGAAAAGGGGGTGGGTAGGTTAGGGATGCTAGGAGAGACGTCCTGGGTGGAGAAATTCTCTCTCTCTCTCTCTCTCTCTCACTCTCTTTGGTTCTTTCTTAGGGGTAGGAAACGAAGAAGGGTGAGAGTTGGACCAAAAGAGGGGGAGTTAGCTGGTACTTGTGTACGAGAAAGACCAAGAGATAAAGATAGAAAGGAAGAAAAAGTGGAGAGAGGGCTAGGGGAGTCATGGGGGTGGTGGCGGTGAAGGAGGAAAAGGGGCAGGGGAACGAGGGGGAGAAGTGAACGGAGAATGGCAAGTCGAGAGCAAAAGGAAGACGCGGTCGACCATCGATTTCTCGACCGGTATTACGTTCCTTCCATCGTTGGAAGGAAAAAGTTGGTGCCGTTGCTGCTATTCGATGTGCCAGGTAGAACTGCTTGTGCCTTACAAACACCTCTTACAAAACTTCCATCTTCCTATCAACTTTCTTATTGTTTATACGCATTCATTTATTATCAATTATTAATAATACAAATGTAATTATAATTCAATTCTTGTGGTTTATATTATATATTTTAATGATTTATTATGCGCGTTTATGTACGATACGTGATTGGTTTATGTTTTTCTTTTGTTTTTGATGATTATTTATTGTAAATACATTTGTTGTTTGATTAACTATCGAATTGTTTTTATTTCTTTAAATATTAATGATTTTAATTATATCAAATTATTGTACGTATATATGTATATGTTAAATATTTTGTGAAATTGATTTTATCTTGTCTTTTTTTTAGAGCAAATTTATTTATAGATAGTTTATTATAATATTGAAGTGTGGTGCAAGTCAATTTTAATAACAAAATTGAAAAAATATAAGATTTTTATTGATTATTAATAAAATATCAGAATAATGATATTTTTTGTTTCAATTGTTTGTTTTTTAAATTGACTTACACCACTTTCTCGATAAGTGATCTATATAATATGTTTGGATAAGAATTTATTTGAGTTTCTCTCTCTCTCTTTCTTTTTCTTTTGTTTTAATTAGCATCTAAAGATCCATTAGATCGATTATTGATAATGATAAATTAATTTTGACGGAAATGAAATTGTCCTAATGA